GCAAAAACGAATTGAATGAGTCTTTGTCCGTTGAATTCTGTGGTAGAGAAATTTAGTTATTGAGATACACACATACTACACAGACACAAACAGGCGTTTCTTAAAAATTGATTAACAAACAAATTCTACGTTCGGATTCAAATTCTATGCAAAAAATTAATTAAAAAATGATCCCCATTTGGCCAAGAACAAAACAATGCAGATCTATGTAATTATTCGATTATATGTGATTAAATATGGTGTTTCATTGGAAAATGTTAAAAGAAATAACAAACTATTCGACTAAATGTGATCAAATATAATATTTGATTGGAAAATATTGAAAGGCATTAAAAAGTATTAAAATAAAATTTGACTAAATATGATGTTTCATTGGAAAATATTAAAAAGTATAAAAAATATTCGATTAAATGTTATTGAAACCCAGAACTAATATTTATTGTTTTATATCAATAATTATTCGATTAAATGTGATCAAATATTATATTTGATTGGAAAATATTTAAAGAAACTAAAAAGTATTAGGATAAGATGTGACTAAATATGATGTTTAATTGGAAACTATTAAAAGGAATAATAAAATATTCCATTAAATGTTATTGAAATTGAAGTACTAAGCATTTATTAAAATATATTAATAATTATTTGATTGAATGTGATTAATTAGTATAAGTGATTGGAAAATATTGAAAGGCATTAAAAAGTATTAGAATGAATGTGATTAAATAGAATAATTGATTGGAAAATATTGAAAGATGTTAAAAAAGATTAAATTAAATGTTATTAAGTTATTTTTCACTGAAAGCACTATTAAAAATGATTCAAAAATATTAAAATTAATCCTAAATTTTCGCATTAATTGTGATTAGAATTTAATTGTATTAAACATGATTCAACTTTAATTCTTGACAGGATTGGAAATCAATCATTTCATTGAAAATTATTGAAAATGATTGAAGTTTAATCCATTTTTATAATTTTCAACAATTTATTTTTAGCAGGGAAATTCTTCGGGGAACCATGTATGGTTTGCGTGTGCAAAAATCTTGTCGGATTGTGTAATTGTATGCTGCTTCATTTAAAAAAATTAATCCGATATATATTTTCACTCAATTTAACATTAATAACAATAACGAAATAAAATATATAGTTTAGGAAGATATATTCCAATAATAAATTCAAAATAAAATTTGAATTTTACACAATTGATTACAAATAATCTATAGTCATAAAAACAATAGAAATGAAAGATACAATCATGGTATGGGATGCTATGTAAGCAAAAATGGTCAAAGTTAACGATTATGAAAATATAATATTTAGAAAATATAAGTCAGAAAGCTCAGTGGATTATGAAGCACTTGAAAATGATCAACAAATTTGAAGTGAAGTTAAAAGTGCTGAAGAAGAGACTGCTCATATGGAGTATTTATTAAATTTTGAAACAAAAGAGACAGGAGGCATGCGAGATTATAATGAGAATATATTACACAAATTACGTAACTCGTTTTTGATAGCAAATGATTGATTATTTAAAAAATTATAAAAAATGCCAAACATGGCTAGAAATACGATATAATATAAAAATCGTTATTAAACAATGTTTAAAATTTATTGACAGAAGATGTAAGATAGCAGATTAGTTACTAACAAATTAATGTATTTGATCACAACGAGTCTCGTATATATTTTACTACTATAACGAATTTAATTCATTCGTTATGTCTCTCTCTTCCCACGCATGCATGTACATAATTCATATACTTATATTATATTTGAATTCACATTATATTATACAGCGGCCTGCAGCAGCCGACAACGTCGAAGTGTAAGGTAAGAGAGAGAGCGCGTTAGGTTTATCAGCGAGCCTATAAGCAGAGAGAGTCGCGCCCGCGGGTACGCGCATATGCGTGTGGTCGCGCTGCCGAAAAGTGCGATGAGGGAGTGGGGACACCTCCCGCGGCAATTGACTGGCAAACGTAACACGGGCGACACGTGTCTGGACGCGCATTGAAGCAGAGGCTTTTCCCTTTTTTTCTTCCTGCTTGGGCAGCTGCCGCGGTTTAGCGTTCCTCGACTTCGTTCCCTTTACTGGAGTGCTTGGACTTTCGGCCTGGCTTTGCCTGGGATTGTTTGCGAGTGCGTACAGTGGTGCGGCGATTTGACAGAGTGGTGTGCGCGTGCTGGGGCCTAGTGTTAGGCAGTCCCTCGCTTCTTCACCACTGCAGCCGGCGTCCGGGAACGCCGTCCGGCGAGCGAATACTCATTGTACTGAGGGCCTGGCCATTGCCATCGCATTGTAAGTACCGACTCGTCTAGCTCTCTCTTGCTGGCTTGCCGCTTCGCTCTCTCTTCGCCGACTTACTGCTCTGTATGCTTTCCCTTGGATGCTTTATATAAATTATTTTTACCCTTTTTATCCTCTGTGCTTCTCTGACTTTGCACCCGACTCTCACTCCCTATCCTTAGCGAATTCTCTGCGCTCGTCGCTACTTTTCGCGCTTTTCAGCCACTGCTAGCTGCGACGCTCTACGCGGGCCACGAGGCTGCTTGACATCGTGGCTAGTTGAAGGGCTTGGCCACACGTGCACCAGCGTACTAGCCTCGTGGCATTTGTAACTGGTAAAGCCGAGCTGTCAATCAATTTATCCTCTCGATTATAACGACGAGTTAGCTAAAACCCTGTTATATTGGCGCCCAACCTCTGATTTGGCAACTTTTCTTTGTGTGGCAGATAGTGCGACGAGAGGAAATCTTTGTGAGCGCGTACATTTTTCGAGAATTCCAGTGCCTATGGAATTCGAAACTCGGCGCGGACAACAACAACGTGCGCGCCTTCCCCCCTTTGTTTACGCGCGAGAGTCAGGGCGCGCAAAGTAGTAAATACGAAGCGAAGCATATACGCCGCGCGACACTCATAAGCTCCGAGCTTAGCCTTGAGACATTTAGAAACAAAATTTTATATACTGAAAATTTCAGTCGTACGTCCTCAAGGCTTAGCCGAATCACGAGTAGAGTACGATAATCGACTCTACCGAATTTCGTTCGCCGGCCAGTCAATTCACGTAGCGTGCGCACGGTTATGTGTGTATATATATACATGCGTATACACACATAACAGGTATAGTTTGTAAGTCGCAGCGCTCAACTTTTACAACAGTAAGACTTTTTTTGTCTTTCTAAAAGCAACTTGTTGTCATTTTCTTTTTTTTTCTCCTCCCCTTCGTTCTCTACTGTTGTCGTTGTTACGAGTGCGTTTAAGTATAAAATTTCACGCGCGTTAGTTTTTTTGTTATACTGACTGTACCGTGTAGTCTAGTTGACTTATAAAATCCACGTCATTTTGGCATTGCCTTTTTCGTCCTTTTTTTTTTATTGACTTCTTCTGCTTTGTTTATTTGTTCCAAATAACATAAATCTATTTTATAATAATGGCCTCCAATTGGTCGCTGAGCGAATTAACAATATTTAAAGAACAAATTGACGAAAAAATTTGCAAGTGGATAAAAGACCTTTCTAGCACGGACGTGGATTGTATGCTAACTCAACTGGAACTACACACAAACGGTACACTATTCGAGCGCGCGAACCGCTTGTATCGTAGACTGAACGGCGATTATACCGCAGAAGATTTTGTAGCGATTGAAAACCAGGACGAAAATATGGCATACGAAAGACGTGAACACCTCACCCGTATATTCTTCGAGTCAGAGGCCCTGCCAAAAGAAGTTCGCGCGGACTTGCGCGCGGCCATAGAGGCAAATGAACTTCTCGAGCCTTTTGAAAATTCAAAGCTCGAGACGGGCAATGGCGCTCGAGAGAATATCCGGACGAGTTCGCCGACAGGCATACAAGACGATATGTCACTCACTTTAGGTGCGAATGCGACACACAACGTAACAGATACGATCCAACAACAGGAATCAACGACAACACAGACTATCGGCCCGTACGAACGCAATGCTTTGGCCGACCCGGCAATCGCAGCATCACATAGCGCGCAAAAAGTGATCTTTAGTACAGGCGCGCCGGGTTCGACATATGTACCGACTTACACGCATGCAATGACGACCTCTTTAATAGAACACAGCAAGACAGTCCGAATAAGGTTGCCAAACGGTGTAGTAGAATATGCCTCCCCGGCCATCGCGCGCGAGTTAACCCGTTTCCGCCGAAAACGCCACTCACGTTACCCTGGTATTTGAGAGCTTATAACTGACGTTAAAATTGCCAAAAAAAATTGAAAGAGCTATATTCTGAAAGTTTAAGATCTGCTCTTTCCGATGGTGGTCATCTCAATTTTCCAAAAAATTTTTTACTATTGCAAAATGCAGTTTTAAAAAAAAAGTCATGATTTTTTCACTCCTTTTTTTTTGTAAATCGAGTTTTCAAAAGGTTTCTCCAGTGGAATCGACCCGGAACCTCTGTAACTGGTGGAATAAATGTCTGAATATTAAGGTCTCATTGTTTTCGGATCGATTTTTCACCTGGGGAGTTTCAAAATGGCGCCTCGATTGCAAAATGTTTGTAAATATGTTTATGAATTTTTAACTCAACAACTATGGGGTTATGGAAAAATTGCCAAAGAAGAAAATGTTCTTAGAATTACTCAAAGAATGCACCTAAATTTTTTCAAAAGATTTCAAGAAAAATTTTTTATTTTTGCACACTGTAAATTTATGCAAAATTCAAAAGTTGCTCAAAAAATCCAAAATAATTCCCACGTATTCTACAGTTTATTCTAAGAATATTTTATTCTTATAAATTTTTTTGTATGTGCATTTCTTGTGAAAATTTTCCCATTAGTATCAATGTGGTATCAAAGTGCATATTTCGCCTGTTCGCCGTAAAATGCATTTTTGTACGTTGCCCAACTATCACCATCGTGGAGGTCGACGAATATAGATAGTCTCTTTTTTTTTTACATTTTAGTTATTTTTATATTTTTTTTGTATTTTTGTTTTTTTTTTAATTATTTATGATTACTTTAGAGAAAAAATTTATTTCGCTTGATGCAAAAGAGGAAAACAGTGCAAGCAATAGTACTTGTCGCAATCAATGCAAAATCTGCTAGTTCGTTGACGACACTCCTTGTAGTTACATACTGCTCTAGTTCTAGTTTCATACTGATAAGATTGGAAATCGCCCAATTTAGAATTGGATAAATACACTCTACTGATTTCTTTACATAAATATTTTGTTGTAACATGTTTAGTTTTGTCGGTATTGCAAATGTTCCAAAGTGTTAAAACATTTGTAACTGAAGCTTGAAGGATACGCGAGAAAATTTTGAATGTCCATTTTTTTGAGCTAATACTTGGGCAAGCTTTTTTACATAGAAAATCGTGCAAGTCTACGCCTCCCATAAATTTGTTGTACAGTGAGAAGGCAAAAGGAAATCCTATTTCTATTCTATCTTTAGCAGTTCGTGAATACCTTTTTATTGGTTTTATAGGTGTAACACCAACTGCTGTAGATAAAACAGATACTTCTTTGGAGTCAATTACAGTAATAAAGTTCATACCACTGTTTGTGTCATGATCCACTTTGAATGTTCCTCGCGGAGCTTTTTTTTCAAAAGTATGCTTTACTTTCACTCTATCCTTGCGTACAGTTCCTGTCGATCGCAATCCATATTTGCCCAAGTGTACAATTAAATCAGGACTAGTGAAATAATTATCGAAATAGAGGTGATAGTCTAATAGCTTTCTTTTTGAAATGCCAAGTAAAAGAGGATTGATCATTTGTACAACTACTCTGGATCCAAGTGGACATGATGCTAAATTTATTCCAATGCTAGTATCATTTTTACCACAGTAAATGTCCATATTGAACAAATACCCATTTGCTCCACACAATCCCCACAGCTTTAGTCCATATCTGTCAGGCTTGCAAGGTAAATATTGTTTTAGGCAAGTACGTCCAAAAAATCTGACCATCATTCCATCTACAGAAAGAGCTGTCATAAAAAAGCCAAATTGTTGAATATTTATTTTGAATAGATTTAATATTTCCCGAACTTTCCAAGCTTTGTCATGGTCATTTTTATCTTTAGGTTTAGAATATTTTATTTTTGTTTTTATTTCACAAAACCTATCACGACTCATTGCTGAAGAAACTACAGAGCACTTCACAAGAGGGTCAGTTTCCCAATACTCCCTTAGCTCATTTCGTATGTTGTACGAAGATAGCAGTAATATTCCCACAAAAGTATTAAGTTCTTGTACGGATAAATCCAATCCATTTGCTTCGCTAGCTTCAATGATATAATTTTTTATTTCTTTAGAGAAAAAAAGTTCAAATAACTGCACAGGTGACATTGAACATATTTTTTTCTTTACAGAATCACTCAACAGTAATTCATTCTCTACATTTCCAGGGCATACTTTTTCTGAATTACACCATGAAAATTCATGATCTGGTTCTAGTTTTTTTTGAACTGCTGAATAGTTATGAAAAGTAGATCTGTATGAAATGTTTGGTTTTGGGATTTCTTCTTCCAAATTCTCATCATCTGAGTCATATTCTCCTTCAGAACCTGAGTTGTCTGGATCAGGTATAACCACGAACTCATCATTCTCTTCGGAATCTACGTCTGAATCGTCATACTCACGAGCTGTTTCAGATTCTTTGGTTTTTGAAATTTCTGATGCTTTTCTCTTTGGCATTTTTTATTAATAATCTGTCATCTATGTATGATAAACCTAAGGAACTATTATAGTTTCAAAAGCCCACACTTATCTTGTGAATCCAATAACAAGATAAAACGTCTGCATTAATGAAGAGAAAATGCTGCTACAAATTCTCTCACACAAATCGAGCGAAAAATTGGAAATTTCGCAAACTACCGGAAATAATACAGAATCGCTCTGTATAAGAACGCTTCATAGGTCAGACCTATTTCATAAATAATTGTTCAGTTAAAATGTAAAGAATATCGAAAGACAATCTGCAGCACATTTATATTGCATAAAAATAAAAAATCTTATTTCAAATGTAAACGTAGTCAACTGACTTGGATTTAGTTATCTCGGGAACAAGATGTAATAGCGTCGGCGTGCAATGCCGATATATTCACTACTATTACCAATTATTTATAAGAGGCGGTGTATCGCTCCAGGCAAAGCAGGAAGGAGAACAGCGGGTAAATGATTTCACACACACAACTCATTGACAAACCGTTTATTACAACGCACTACCTAGAGTGCCGGCGAAAGTACAAACACTTATTAACAATAACGCGCAAACTTAATCTAAACGAGATGACCGGCACGTTAGCGCCATGTCACCTCGTTAACCGGCTCAAACAATTACTTAAATTACACACTGCCGAAAACTACGCCGTCTCGGAAAAGCCTGGCGTAGCAACGCGAACCATGAGAATCGCCGAGGAAAGAAAGAGATATAGAGAGAGAGAGGAATCGGTGACCTGACCAAATTCTGGTGGACGTCGCTGTTGCTGGCATCCTTGAAGGTGTCCCACCGGCGGCTCGGCTAAAAACCCCTGGCTGCTGCGTGGCCGGCGACCTGGCAGAAAAGGCTGTCGGGTTCTGCCTCGATGACGGCTTCTTGCAGGGCAACTGCTGCGTCGCTGGCAGAGGAAGTCCCGTCCGGCCGATCTGCTAAGGAATGCTGACTTCTTCCGGACAAAGGGCAGGCAGCGATGGTCACCAACTCTCGTACGACTCGTAAGACTGATTGCTGCCGCGCGCGTCGCGTAACTCACTATCGCGAGTGCATGAGAGCCGGCTTCTCACGCCTTCTCCCACCACTCGCCTCCTAATCGGCGGCACGCGGCAATGCCGGTCGCGATAAGTACCGCGTGCCAAGCCCAACTTAGACTATAGTTTTTCTCTCTCTTTCTCTCTCTCTCTCGCACTCTCAATACTCGATCGCGTCGTCGCGTCCACGGCTTCTCCTTCCACTCTCGTGCGTTGCTGAAAAATAAAAGGGCAGGCATCAGGCACGTGATAATAATGTGCGTTTGATGCCGGCCGTGCGCCTTTGCCTAAGAAGGAGAGGGAGGCAAGCACACGGTGCAGGCCATGACAGGCCTACACCGTCACAAAGAAACAAAAACTTGAAATAAAGTTGATTTAAAAAAATTTTTTATTCAAAAACTATTATATTTACAAAGAAATCGACAAGAATAAAATATTCTTAGAATAAACTGTAGAATACGTGGGAATTATTTTGGATTTTTTGAGCAACTTTTGAATTTTGCATAAATTTACAGTTTGCAAAAATAAAAAAATTTTCTTGATACCTTTTGAAAAAATTTAGGTGCATTCTTTGAGTAATTCTAAGAACATTTTCTTCTTTGGCAATTTTTCCATAACCCCATAGTTGTTGAGTTAAAAATTCATAAATATATTTACACAAATTTTGCAATCGAGGCGCCATTTTGAAACTCCCCAGGTGAAAAATCGATCCGAAAACGATGAGACCTTAATATTCAGACATTTATTCCTCCAGTTACAGACGTTCCGGATCGATTCCACTGGAGAAACCTTTTGAAAACTCGATTTACAAAAAAAAAGGAGTGAAAAAATCATGATTTTTTTTTAAAACTGCATTTTGCAATAGTAAAAAATTTTTTGGAAAATTGAGATAAGCACCATCGGAAAGAGCAGATCTTAAACTTTCAGAATATAGCTCTTTCAATTTTTTTTGGCAATTTCAACGTCAGTTATAAGCTCTCAAATACCAGGGTAACGTGAGTGGCGTTTTCGGCGGAAACGGGTTAAACAGAACTTGGCGGAAAGAGGCCGAGGCCAATAGGCATATAGAAGCTCAGGATGTAGAAAAAGAAAATTTAAAGGCATTGACCACGTACTATAAAAATTTAGCCGCTGGGTTGCAAGCTAACCTAGCCAGGCTTCAAAAAGAAAAAGAGAGTGAAGTCGCACTCAATAAAGAGCTGCAAGAGCAGTTAAAGCAGGTGGTGGCCACAACTCGACAGTAAGCCACAGAGCAAGCTAGACTAGATGCCTACCAAAATAAGAATGTTCAATTCGCGGATACATTCGAATTAAACTAGTACGACGTATCAAACCAACTCAACGGCTCGGAGAAATATAGCATGCCGCTGTCTCTCGATCCTCAAGCGCCGATCTTTCATTCGACGACTAAACCTTCATCGGCGACTGCATCACAGCCGTCGCCAAACTTTTCGTCGGCCCCTTCTAGCGTCCCTGGGCCCTCTTACGCAAGCTCGCTCACTCCCGTAAGCTCGTGCTAGGGGAGGGGGGACTTGCCCAGCGCTACACCAGTGCCGCCGACACAGCAAGGGCCAAGAGGCATGCCTGCTAATGGCATAGAGGCCACGACATTTAACTCTTCGTCTCGCTTTCTTCCTAGCAAACATCTAGGAAAAACAATCAGAGAATGGAAAATTAAATTCTCCGGAGGCGAAGGCCTTAGTATTGAGGAGTTCCTAGAAAGGATCGAGGACAACAAACGATTAGATAAAGTAGCGGACGAGGAGTTACTCGATTCTATGACCCCCTTATTCGAGAAGTCAGCTCTCTTTTGGTATCGTGCCATGAGGCCTGCGTGGTCCACGTTCGCCGATTTCAAGGGAGCGGCTCTCATTGCCTACAGCAAGTCCAAAAGGAATAAAAGGACCATGACGGTCGAGGCTCACTTGCGCACCCAAGGCGCCGATGAACCAGTACTGGAATACGCAGTCTCGCTACTCACCATACTAAGAAGGATGGATCCGCCTTGGGACATTCGGGATCAAATCAATATCATCATTGACAATATGCTCCCTCCACTTAAGAAGAAGTTAAAATACTTCAGGGACAATCTCACTGACGTGCAGCTGCTACTGACCCGTGCCCAAGAGGCCGAAGATGATGAACAGGGACAGTGGAAGCCACCGCCTGCGGCAGACCAAAGTATGTGGCCCGAAGCGGCTTATAAGCCACGGACCAAATCTGCTAAGGCCAGGCCAGTGAACCTGTCGTCTTTGAACGACAGAGCCTCCCCAGCTCACGAAGCCGAGCTGGAGAAGCTAATGTCAAAATTTTTTGAGAAGAAAGCCAAGGAGTTTGGCCTCAACAGGCCTCCGACTCCCCCGGCAAATGGCAAGAACTCTGGTGAAAAATTAGAGGCAGCAACAGAGAAATCGCGGAACGGCTCCAATGGTGACACTCCTCGAGGCAATTACCGTGGCCGCGGCCGAGCCGGCGGGAGAGGTGGGGGACGGCCATCGGGCAGTCGTGCTCTGAAGGTCGCTCCCAAATCGGATAAAAACAAAGATAAGGAATCTGGTCCGGATGCCGACAAAGTTTTCTGCTGGGAGTGCAGTTGGCCAGGCTACACTAAGTTTACCTGTCCAGAATGCTCGCCCAAGCAGACAAATCATGAAGGACCAAAAAACGTCAGCGGGAGCCAGTAAGCGAGGTCCAGACGGCTCCCCCTATCACCCGGACCTTTGAAGTCAGTGGCGTGACAGGAGTAGCGCAGGCGCTGTGCAACACGGTGGGCGACCCAATGCTAGCCCCGGTTAGCCCTTCCGACGTGCAGCCAGCCGGCGATGGAGGTACTGTCTCAAGCGCCCTGATCGATAAGTCACCTAGGTGGTGGCTGACAGTAAATGTTGGCGACTATAAGTTTAGAGGTCTCTGGGATACCGGAGCTTCCCGATTCGCCGACCATGTGAAGTGGCTCACATTAATTTTAAAAAGACTCAACGAGGCAGGCCTTACGATAAATCGTAAGAAGTCAAAGATTTGCATGTCCGAGATTCGCTATCTCGGCGTGCTAGTTAATCGTGACGGCTGTCGCCCTGATCCTGAAAGGGTACAGCCCATTTTAGACTACCCTGCGCCGAGGAATTTGCGACAATTACGTCGTTTTCTCGGCATGGCCTCTTGGTATCGCAAATTCCTAGGAGATTTTGCGACCGTAGCCGAGCCTCTTACTTCACTTACCCGAAAAGATTCTACCTATGTGTGGACTGACGAGCATTGGGCGGCTTTCGAACAAGTAAAAGCCTTGATTGCGTCGGCATCCGTTCTGGCCAGGCCTGATTTCGACGCGCCATTCATCATGTTATGTGACGCCAGTGATACCGGCCTTGGCAGTGTCCTTCTCCAGAAAATTAGCGGAGAAGAACGCCCCCTTTGCTTTGCTAGTCGTGTCCTCACAGCCACCGAACGAAGGCTGTCGGTGACGGAACGTGAATGCCTCGCAGTTATTTGGGCGATAGAAAAATTTCGACCATATATTGAAGGCTACCACTTCACCGTCGTGACCGATCACCATAGCCTTGTCTGACTGCAAAATTTGAGGAGCCCAAACGGTAAGCTAGGCCGATGGTCGTTGCGCCTGCAGGCCTACGACTTTGTCATCGTGCACCGAAAGGGCAAGGACAATGTCGTCCCTGATGCTCTGTCTCGTATGTACGAGACCGACGAGGACGTTGAAACTTCCCTCGCCTCCCTCAGTGCCGACGTGCCTACTTAGTTTTCTTTTGTATTTAGCGCTCTTATGTTTTCCCCGCGCCGTTGCGCGTATCAACTGTATCTTAGTCCAAGGTCCTTGTAAAAAGAGAGAGAAAAAGCAACATATTTAAGCACAGAACTATTTTTTTTTCCTTCCCTATTTCTTTCATTATAGACCTTACAGAATAAAATGCTATTTTGCTTCATAACTAGAG